CATGGAGTGTACCTAGTTATATTCCATCAAACTATCCCATTATCACATATGAGATAGGATATCATATCTTACAGTCTGGTTGCTGTCCAATGGTAGGTGATGATAAAATTGATGTTCAAATGCTACGGTTCTTTAATTCAACCAATGGTGCTACATTTACTACTAGAATTACTGGTCTTGATGCTATGTCTTGTTATATTTTTGGTGTACGTGCATACACAGACAGAGGACCTGGTGGATGGGTCTTTATTGCTAATGAGACATTGATCAGTACTCAATTCGTGACACTAACACTAGTAACTACTCAAGAAGTAGAATCAACTAATACAGGTATAATAACAATAAATGTGCTAAAAATAAGACAAAAATAATTTTATATTTTTTATTAATAGTATCAGGAGCTGTTGATGGTGCTAGTATTGGACTGGGTGCAGTGGTTGGATTATTATTAATATCACTAGCTGTTAGTATCATTATTAACATCTACTGCTTTATCAAGTATGAATACATTAAAAACATAAAATACAATTCAATGTTGTTTATGTACAGGCATAAAACCTATGATACAACCACTGCTAAGCAAACAAAGTAAATAAACAACCAGTAAATGTTTGTACATTATTATTGTTTATTGTTTGTGATAGGTTTGATGATGATATACCAATGCAAACCTGTGAACCATATGGTATTCACAAGACTAAAGATGTTGCAAAAGAGGCAGTATATGAGTGTCCTGATGTCAATGTTAATGACATTGCCATTTATGAAACATAACTTATGAAACAGTAAAAACTAACAGTGCAATTTAATATACATATACATGTACACTCTGTGATACAACAGTATACAATGCTCATGTACTTGCTTGTTATCCATACATACACTCCTAGATATACATTTTAGTTCTGGAGTGTCACTACATTCATAATATCTTAAGGTGGGTTTTCATTATGATGCATTGTTTTTCATGCTCCAATGTCACGACCAGAAGTGCTATATAAATCAATTGGAGTATGCGTCAATGCATCAGAATAGAATTTTTTTCTAATTTGACGCATTGATGCATGTTCCCATTGGTTTATACAGCACTTCCGGTCGTGACGGATGCACATGCGTCATATTGAGAATCCACCTTCAGTCTATTTTAGTGTAACTTTTATGATCACAGTAGAGTGTTATTATAACTGCTTTCAATGTCCTTTTATCAATTCTAATGATTGCAGTGTTTTTTATAGTGTTACTATCTAATCAAGTTACAATAAACAGTTGACATTAACTAACAGAAACTGCTGTATAAAGAAAATGCCTAACTAGGAACTTCTGTCAAGTTCTGTGAAAAACACTAGAAAGACTGAAAATATCTCTTTCAATGCTTGCCAGTTGCCACTGTACGTAAACATAATGTTAATTTTCTTTCACAGATTAGCCCATTTCCTTATGAGGTTCCACTACTTTTCTTTAAATTTATAAAGAAGATACACATGTACAAAATAAAAGAACCTCATTAACCTGCTTTAATTTATGATAATAATAATAATAATAATACATGCCGGTATAACAATAATAACAACAACAATTCAAAAATGATAATACAATAGTGAAAAAAAACAAGATATAGGATCAAAATTACTAAAATATTCAAAAACAAAACAGGAATGTATTATACATAATGTATGTACTTTATGCTTCCTAAAATGCAGTGAGAAGAGATTGTCTGTTGGTTTATTATAAGTAAAAACATGCACTGTCACTACTACTGTATGTCCTATTGAAGTTTGTCTATTATAATATTGTGTGCATAAATGTCATGTGATCATCATGTGCTGAGTGGCTTGATCTGTGGGTGGGTAAGTATCTCTTAGTGAGGTGTTGGTGTTGGTGTATCAACCTTAGTGAGGTGTTGGTGTTGGTGTATAATGTTTATGCTGCATGCCATCTGGCTCCATAACTGTTTTGAATTATCCAATTAGACAATTAGCCAATTATTTGTGTTACTATGGTTATAGCCATGCCTTATGCTAACATTTTGCAGAGCCACTGCAGAATACCGGTAATTACATTTTTGAGCAGAGCAGGCAACCCTGGCATTCCATCGCGATAATCTCAGTTTCATAGTTTTTCTCCTGAATATGTACATGCATAATGTACACTACAGACTCTTTTAACACTATACAGCAAATCTAAGATCTATTTGCACCAAATGGTCTCTCTTGTATAAGTTGTAATGGTAAATTCCTTTAACATCATGTAGTATTGTTGCTGCTATTGTTGTGCACACAGGGAGTGGGCCACACTACTTTGCCTGCTGAGCTATCACAACAGTTTCACATGACCATAGATAATAGAGTAAATGAAAGGGATTGGAAACTACCGTTCCCGCCCGGTGATGCGGTTTTCGTCACCCCTGGTTACCTGGCCAGCTGGTTGGCAACGTCCGTGTTTATCTGCATTCCCCATCTCCTCCACAGTAGTTGTTGTGCAGAAAGGATTTCGAAGGAACATTGTGCGACTATTAGATAGCGCTTGCTTATGATATATCCTGTTCCACATAGAAAGTTTATGGCTACCTATAGCAGGGTTTTTGTTTCTATAGAACTATTTTTCGACCAGTTATGGGTACACAAAGTCGGCATCTTTTTTGACACCTTTTCGCCTCTACAGCTTTCATGCTTTTGCTATTCTAGCAGTACCTCATATCATTCCATAGGTAATTGAAAGTTCTTTTATATTCTGACAAGCTTTAGAGTTTAGCTACAATTGTCTTCATTAGAGGGAGAAAACAGCAATTTTATGGGCAAAAGCGCTATAACACTCAAAATATTAATCTAAATATACCAAATAAATAATAATTAACAGTGCAAAACATTGAACTCCTTGATAGTTGAGTTTCTTTTTCATCAGAGCACTCTTCTTGGAGTTATTCTAATTTTAATGGCAAAATCACGAATTTTGTGGTCAAAAGGTAACAAATTGCAAACCGCCTAGTCAGCAATTTTTTTGCTTAGCAACAATACAATCAAATGGGATTATTGCTACGCCCACGCGGAAGTTTCCAATCCCTTTCATTTACTCTACTATCTATGACATGACACATGATTTGATAAACACACCCACAGACATTTCTTTGGTCAACAATGCTTTCACTACAAGTGTTTGTCTTCTTGTTGAGTGTCAGTGAAGTTATTAGTCAATGTCCACCTTCCTCAGGTAAGACACTGGATGTGTATAATAACAACTGTATAGGTTTTTTTAGGTATCTACCTGAGGCATAATGGAAACTGTCGTACAAATGGATCATATTTTACTGATGGTAGCATCATATCAAATGCTCTAGAGTGTACATTACCTGGTGCTACTCTGAATGGTGGAGAATGGATTGGTTCTAATGGAACAGTTCCTTGTGATGGTGGTAACAATGTAAATGTTCAATGTACTACTGGGTCAGGTGCTAGTCTCAGTATTCAAGCTACTACCTTCCCTGGAGAAGCTGGTGATGGCTGGTACAAGTGTTGTCTACCCACTAATTGTTCAGATCCTAACACTAACATCATCTTTGCTAATATATTCAGTAAGAGGAGACTACAATCACTTACTGATGTAATAATTTTCATTTGTAGGATTTGCACAGATAGAATCATTTACTGTTGCTGATCTTCCTTCTGATATGACAGTATATCCTCAGGAATACAAACTGAATTGTACTAAAATTGGATTCTATTTGTATGGTATTAGTATGAGCATTGGTAATACTGCACTGGCTAGTTATACTAATTGTGATGATCGAAGTAGTACTTGTCCTGGTACTGTGTTAGTTAGTAGTACCAACACCGTAAGATATACTGTTGATATCACATGGGATGGAATGACTGTCAGTAGTGGATCAATCAGTCAGTCAACCACTGGAGATCAAATGTATCAGTGCAGGGTAGCAGATCGTCCTGATAGTAATGCAATTAGAATACTTAATGTAACTGTAAAAGGTAATGTCAATAAATAATACCAATAATTTTGATACCAAGAAAATTATTAGTTCCAGCAACTGCTCCCTCTTCTCTTACTGTGGTCAACAAGACAGCTACCACTATCACTGTCAGTTGGATTGCACTTGATTCATCTGATGCTGATGGATATGTAGTCAATGTCACTAGTGACACAGACACTTTGCAGACAGTACAGGTGGAGGGAAGTAGTAATAATACAATCACACTGAATGGACTGGGAGGAAGAACAACTTATATCATCACAGTCAGAGCCTATCAACAATTACTGGGACCTGCTAGTACAATCAGTGTACAGACCTTACCAGGTATTGCTACTGCACCTTTTAATGTACTTGTAACATTGTTGATGTATTTCTAGTTATTAATTCAATCAATTGGACACTAGTCTCATCCATTACACAACTCAATAACACTCAATATCATATTGATTGTCTCACAACTACTGATATAAATCCTTCAACTGATGTTTACTGGTTAGTGAATGGAGTGATGAAGAGTAACTCAATGTATACATCAATTGATGTCCTGACATACAACAACACACTACTGGTATATCCTGATCCACTGGGAATGTCAGTTAATGTTACCTGTATAGCAATGATTGGAGGAGTCAACTACAGTCAATCTGTGATATTACATGGTATGATTATACTTTAATCATTAGTAGATACCATTTGTTTTCCTTTTTTATAGCTCCTAGTGGTCCTCCAAATAATGTGAGAGGGTTTATATTAAGTGCTACTAGTATCAAAGTGAACTGGACCACTTCACCAGAGACTAATGGATATGTGATTGAGTATACTACTGGAGGTGTAACCAGGAATGTAGTATCTACCAGTGAAGATGAAATTGTACTAACAGATCTCTCACCAATGAGTACCTATACCATCAGTGTGTACTCATATATAAATCTTCCTTCAGTTAATAGTACAGTAACAGTGTTAAGATTTGATGGTGAGTTATTATGATTGAGAGAGTGTAATTGATATTTGTTGTAGTTCCTAGTCCAGTAACTAGTCTCTCAGTGTCTAATGTCTCAACCTTTGGTATTACAGTGAACTGGACTATTCCCAGTAGTGACAACTATGTAACATACTACACCATCTCCTATACTCCATCTTGTCCCGAGTTATCATCAGTAAATGAGGCAGTCTCTGTTGGTCCTCATCAGTCCACTACAACATACAGTTATACATTAATAAGTCTGTACAGTGGTATGAACTATACCATCACAGTGAGAGCTGGTAATGTACTAGGAGGATCTGAATTAAGCATGAGCACTGTACAAACTGAAGCAATGAGTTGTATGTTAATGTGTTCCAATATTCAAATTAATTATAATTACTTTGTAGCTCCTAGTGGTTGGCCTTCATCAATTCAAGTATTACAAGTTAATTCTACAGCTAATAGATTCACTTGGAATGAGGTCAATTGTTCTGAGCGTAATGGTCTAATCACAGGCTATACAGTGATTATCAGTAATAGTAGTATCACATACAACCTCACCAGTACTGAGAGATATATCATATTGAATGATCTAGTATTTGGTACTGAGTATAACATCAGTGTAGCTGCTGTCAATTCTGTTGGAAGAGGTCCCTTCAGTGATCCTATTGTAGTAGAGATTGGAATAGGTATGTAATTATTATACTATATCAGTTCTGTGAGAATGTGTGTTTATTTAGTACCTGGTCCAGTTGGTTCAGTATCCAGTATCATGGACACTACATGGGCTGTTATCTCATGGAGTGTACCTAGTTATATTCCATCAGACTATCCCATTATCACATATGAGATAGGATATCATATTCTATTTGACAAGTGTTGCTTTTCAATGGTAGATGATGATGACATTGATAATCAAATGCTACAGTTCATTAATTCAACCAATGGCGCTACATTTACTACTCAAATTACTGGTCTTGATGCTATGTCTTGTTATATTTTTGGTGTACGTGCATACACAGACAGAGGACCTGGTGGATGGGTCTTTATTGCTAATGAGACATTGATCAGTACTCAATTTGTGACACTAACTACATGTACTCAAGAAGTAGGATCAACTAATACAGGTATAATAATAAATGTGATAATTGAGACAAAAATAATTTTATAATATTTTTTATTAATAGTATCAGGAGCTGTTGATGGTGCTAGTATTGGACTGGGTGCAGTGGTTGGATTATTATTAATATCACTAGCTGTTAGTATCATTATTCACATCTACTGCTTTATCAAGTATGAATACATTAAAAACCATAGAATACAATTTAATGTTGTTTATGTACAGGCTTAAAACTTATGATACAGCCACTGCTAAGCAAACAAAGTAAATAACCAACCAGTAACTGTTTGTACATTACTATTATTTATTGTTTATGATAGGTTTGATGATGATATACCAATGCAAGTCTGTGAACCATATGGTATTCACAAGACTAAAGATGTTACAAAAGATGCAGTATATGAGTGTCCTGATGTCAATGTTAATGATACTGCTATTTATGAGGAAACATAACTTATGAAACAGTAAAAACTAACATTGGAATTTAATGTACATGTAGTTTTATACACACTGTATGGTACAATAGTATAAATTGTTCATGTACTTGTTTGTTATGCACACATTTTGGATCTTAGTCTATTTTAGTGTAACTTTTATGATCACAGTAGAGTGTTATTGTAACTGCTTTCAACATCCTTTTATCAAATCAATTCTAATGTTTGCAGTGTTTTTATGTTAGTGTTACTACATGTATCTAATAAGTTACAGTATATAATTAACAATAACTAACAGAAACTGCTGTATAAAGAAAATGCCTATCTAGGAACTTCTGTCAAGTTAGGTGTTGGTGTTGGTGTATGATATCTATGCTGCATCTGGCTCCAAGACTGTTTTGAATTATCCAATTAGACAATTAGTCAATTATTTGTGTTACTATGGTTATAGCCATGCCTTATGCTAACATTTTGCAGAGCTACTACAGAATACCAGTAATTGCACTTTTGAGCAGAGCAGGCAACCCTGGCATTTCATCATGATAATCTCAGTTTCATAGTTTTTCCTCCTGAATATGTACATGCATAATGTACACTACAGACTCTTTTAACACTATACAGCAAATCTAAGATCTATTTGCACCAAATGGTCTCTCTTGTATAAGTTGTAATGGTAAATCCCTTTAACATCATGTAGTATTGTTGCTGCTATTGT